GTTCAGACGTGTGCTCTTCCGATCTCCCCAAAACCCCAAAACCCCAAAACCCCAACTGTCTTAAATTAAAGAAATCATATCAAATTAAAAATTTATATTAAATATATCAAGGTAAAATTCTGACATAAAATTCTTTTGTCTTATGTCACTTCTAACTTATCTTTAATTTCAATATCTAATGAACCCCTTGATTTTTATCAAAAGCAAGAGAATTCTTCGATTTATTAGAGATTATAGGTATTCTTTTTGTTCTAGTATTTGAACTCAAATAATAGCTAGTCATTTAATTAGTATACATTTATCAAATTATGAGTCTCGACATCCAGTATATACTGCATTGTTGATCTATTATTTATGTTATAGATCATAACAAACAAGCCATTGTTTCTCCTGAATACTATCAAAAATCCCTCCATATCATGTGGAGAGTAGGTTCTCTTGGGTAAGTTAAATATACCAAAGAGTTTTTATCCTTGAAATAGTCTATTAGTTTTCTGGACTACAATATTCTTCTTTGTATCAATGATTCTAATATGGAATTAATACTCTTTGAATACATTAATCATTCTGGCATCTTCTTCTAGCATCAAAGTGTACCTTTTATTGATCTTGAAAATCCTATCAGCTTTCATATTGAATTGCTTGATTTCTTTGCATTTCCTGTTTCTTTAAGTCTAGCATCTTTTAAAAATCCATGTAGTGTTGAAGGGACTGTTTAGATAAAATCTACTGTTTTCATCTTGGAAAGAATGACTGCTAGGCAATTTGAAATCCTGAGGAATAGTAAGACTTGTTTCTGAAAGATCTTTTTGAATCTTTACTTGGTTTACATATCTATCTGAAATAGCAAGAATACTATTCTAGTTGAATATCATGCAACTAAAGTATGTGATGATTAATTGTGAAGAATCGTATTCTCTTTCAATCAATTTCACATATTCTCCAGTCATTAAGTTGATCAAAGTTGAGGTCAAGACATCTGTAATAGAATCAATGATTGCATAAATTCCCTTAGTGTAAGATCTTTTAAATTCCTTGCTCTTGAATTCTATATCAATCTGACTCTTAGTTTCTCTTTTATTGAGGTCATACTCAACCAGGTGTAGCATGTTTATTCTCATCTCAAAGGTGATGAAATTGTACTTGGTCTTGAAATTGATGGCAATAATATTACCTTTCAAATTGAAAGGCTTATAAGTTGATTCTTCTAAGACTACTAAGTCATCGAATCATTTAGCGATTCTTGAAGGCAAAAACTCGGTAATATACTCTCTCCTGGTAGTTGCCTATAATTATGATACTGGGTTTGTATTTGAAATTGGGTCTGAATTTTATTGATTCATTTAAGTTTGAGTGATTTAAATATCTGTCATTATTTAATTGATTATGTAATTTTGACTATATATAATTAATCAGGCTAATTAAATCTTGAAATTTTTAATCAAATTTGTGCTTTTGGGGTTTTGGGGTTTTGGGGTTTTGGGGTTTTGGGG